GTAGGGCGTTTGCCTTGCACACAGCCAACATGGCCAACCCGAGTTCGATTCCTCTGCCCCTCTCGGAGAGCCCGGCAAGCTACCGAGAGTATCTCGCCCACACGGCAGAGCCTGGCAAGCTCCCCGTGACGTATTCAATATGCCAGACACAGTAACAACAAAGTCTCCAATGGAGACGTTACTGGGCCCGCTCAAGCAAATCGATGATCAATGGGAGGGCCTTTACTTTTTTTTTTTTACATTCTTGTAGAAAAATTTTAAATAAGTTTTAGCAGTAAATGATGCTTTTGTGTGTGTATCAGGGACAGAGGAGAAGGAGGGGAAAGAGAAAAAAATAAACCTAAATAATAACCAAAGTGCATTTTTCTCAATTCTGACTTGGATGGCACCTAGCTAATACTATTTTTAGATATAGATAAAATAAGCTCTTTCATCACATTCAATAGGTACTTCCGGTCATTACGTCTTAATTCTCTCATAGTGAAAAAGTAGAGAAGTGCAGTTGTGCTGGTAGAGCAGCAAGGCCTGAAATCAAGGGTAAATTTCTAATTGAAGTATTTCACTATCAGGGTCTAAAATGCCTGTTTCCTATCTAGATGATAGAGTCTAAGGTTCAGTCCCTAACACAACATGGTCCCCTGAAGGAGTAGATCCAAGAACTAGATATAATTGCTTTGCTGACAATTTTCTTAAGTTTTCCTCTCTAAATATTATATGGCACATGGACTTTTAGAGTCTGATGGGAATTACATTAAACTGTTAGGAATTCATTTTTAATGGTTCAATTCATCTTTAGTAACCAGGTTTCATGTTAGTTTAGTTTCAGAAACTTTTAAATGACTCTTTGCTTTAAATGAACAGATAACTTAGATTTTGTTCCAGCCTTAATTCCAAATTCTACCCACTGCTACATTCCTACATTCCTGCCTTAACATCTCGTTTAGTTTCTCTTCTTGCTACTCCATGGTCATGGTGTCCCTCTATGAAAGAGCATCCTTCATTTCTCTCTCTCATCCAAGACCCTTTGGGAGATCCTTGGCACCACCTCTACTCTGAAGCCAAGGTGAAGATGTAAATGTCCTCTACAAGAATGCTCAGGACACTGTATTCTTACATTTTAAAGTATACGACAGATTATAGGCTGGAGTGATAGCACAGCAGGTAGGGTGTTTGCCTTGCAAGCAGCCAATACGGCCAACCTGAGTTCGATTCCTCTGTCCCTCTTGGAGAGCCCAGCAAGCTACCGAGAGTATCTCACCTGGACGGCAAATTCTGGCAAGCTCCCCGTGACATATTCCATATGCCAAACACAGTAACAATTGTCACAATGGAGATGTTACTGGGCCCGCTCAAGTAAATCAATGAACAATGGGAGGACAGTGACAGTGACAGTGACAGTGACAAGAGATTATTTTATTTCTGCTATTCAAACATCTTTTCTTACCAGAGTATACACCCAGTGCGCCAATCATATAAATATTGCAAGAGATTCAATGTGATTTGGCATTGGAGACAAGGACAATTTTTTTTTAAGAGTACTACCCAAGGTGGTGATTTTGGTTTCTAAAGCAAACTAAATTTTTGAAATGTTGTCAGGCTATTAACATCATGTGAGGATTGAACATCATACAGTGAAACTAGAAAAGGCCAGAAAAGGGATTTGAATCCTAGTTTTATTTCTTTATTATATATCACAAACATGTAGCTATTTGTAATACTCTTTGTAATATTCTTTGTAATAACTTCGTAATATCCTTCACTTGTTAGTATTCCATACTGCTTCTCTACTGCCTCATTTCAGCCTCATTTTTCCCCCAGTGGTGCCAATCTTTCACTTCAATTTCTATGTGCTTTAGTTATATTTTTTTTATACTGACACTAAAATAGAAACTCTTTTGTATTAAAGCTCACTATACACTAGAACATAAACATTATATTGAGAGCTGTTCACCCCCATACACATTGTTTCATTCATTCGCTGCCAAATTCCCAGTAACTAGAAGTCTTTTATACATGCTAGAAATTTAATGTAACTTTGCTGAATGATTAAATGGACAAATGAGCCTTGGAACTCCAGGAAGAGAGTTTTAAAACCTCTGCTCTACATTCTCTAAGCTTTTCTCCCTCAAGATTGTTGATTCACTAGAGAGCAATACACCCTTTTATCTCAGCTCCCTGAAGAAATGACTTTACTGAAATATGATTAAATGTTATGCCCTCGGCTTTTACAGAAAAGTCTATTTGAACAGCGATTTCATCTTTTGTTATTCCATGACCTCAATTTAAGAAACTTTGCAATAAAATTGTCCTTGAATCCAGTGCAAAAAAGTTTGTCTCTTCCATCTAAATTATGCTCTTCTGATCAGAAATGGAGAACTAAACACGCCAAGCAATCTCCCTTTGTGCTTTAGTTTCCTTGACATTCAATTCCCTTTAGTGCTCTATGGTAGTAATTACACAGGTTCAGGCATCTTGTTATGTACAAGCCTCGGCTGGCTTTCACAAGATTTTTGCACTGAATTGTGCTGTATCATATTGCAATTAATTTTATAAAATTCATTCATAGAACCACTTTGGAAATTTGCAAGTTATAAATCTCACATTAACATAATAAACCTGGCTATAAACACTCACTGGCTAGTTGGTAAAAACACTGTACAGTATGCAATTAGAAGAGTTATCATTTTGTTTTCAGTTAAAAAAATCACCTGGGTAACATTAGACATCGGAATATTTTCTAAGAAAATCTAATGACATTGATTATGTTATTTTAAAGCTAATGTGGACACAATTATATAATTCCCTTGTTATTGAGATGTATTTTAAATATTTATAAATTCATTGACTTTATAAATTGAGAAAATCTATTTTTAACTATAATTATAAAAAAATTAAAGAACATACAGAAAAATATTAGCTATTTTTTAATGATAAAGGTATTTCAACTAAAATTCTACCATGATTTTATGTAACATTTCATATGGCTACTGATTAATTTTGTTAGCTTACAATTTTTAATGAACTACTAAATGGTAACATTGATTAACTATTTACTGCATGTGCCATTATTATTATATCCTCTCACTTGCTATTCAAAACAAACAATTCTACAAGGTAGCTGTAATCCGCACTTTTAAAATGATGACGTTGAGTTTCAGAAATGGAACATTCCACATGTCCTAATGAAATTTTTCTTTCAAGCCTACAGGGCCACAGTGTTTATATTCTTTCCCCCTAGGTTACCTTAAAAAGCTTTGTAATCTTACTTGCTGAGTTCTTATGTTACACAATAAATTGGTAAACTATACATCCCCAGAAGATTAAAATAAAATTTATGTGTTCAAAAGGAGTTAGTTATCTTCCTTTACAACATAGGCTTGACAGGGAAGTATAGTGTTCTCTCCATGGGCAGGGAAAATGTGTGAAATAGGAGAAAAGAAGATAAGAGTAAATAGAATACAGCTTGCAAATTACACTGGGAAATCACATCAAAGTTTGGCTTTCTCATTTTAATTTAATTTAGCTGCTCACTGTTCTTAAGTGTAAAAACTGTTTTTAAAAAAGTAGGGGGGGAGGGGGAAGAGGAAACAGTACAAGGTCATGGTGCATGACAAGCACAAACTGTTTTGGGTTCAATTCCGGGCATCACATGGTCCCTTAAACATCATTGAGTGCAGACCTGTATTATAGGCACCCAGGGCGATCAGGATGGCTTAGAAATCCCCAGAACTACAGAGCTGAGCAGCCTTACCTCATATTGAGCCACCAGCCTGGTTGGCCGAGAATCACTCCTGCCACTCAAAAATGGAATGGAGAGGTAGCTTAAAGGACTGGGTTGCATGTTCTGCATGCAGAAGTCCTGGGCTCACTCTCAGGGTTACCTAAGCACCACCAAGAAGACGTGCAAGTACCAAGCCATGAGTATCCCTGAGCACTCAAAATCTCCTCAAAAAGGGGGAGGCCCGAGGTCTTTTCAGAAAGATTACCAAAATTTTGAAATTGATGTTTTCTCTTAAAGTTAATGACATATTCTATACAACTAAAGACAAGTTTGATGCATGTCTCTGAATAGGAAACTTATTCTGAAAATATTCCAAACTTAGTAGGTTATGGATCTTTTCGAAGACTAGAAAAAATCAGTGGACACCCACTTATATTATGCATATAAGTAATTTTTAGAGATACTTTTACCCACTGTTATATACTCCATTTAGTTTTCAATATACAGCAAAAGATTCAGGTTTGGTTCATCAAACTAAATACCAGAGAGATAAATACTGGTCATCATAAGGGAAGTGTCTGGATTCTCTGTAAGCATCATGGACCTTTTGATACAGCTGCCTTTGTTAACCAGATTCTCTGTTATTTTCATTTGTCTTTGCCTTATTTCATTTCAAAAGCTCCTTCAGGTTTAAAGTGCTTGACTAAAATTAACTTTACTAAAGACTATGTCTCCAGATGTCAAGAAGCATGTTGCATAAACATTATGCAAGATTGCCTCTTGTCCCATAGTGCTGTAGTCCAAAGCCCCTGTATGTGTAGAACCTGAGATTCTGATCGAGAATCTCTTCACTGACAGTCCAGCCTTCAGTCAAGATTTATAACTAGGTTTATACCATGCATTTGTGAAAATTCTCCGAGTGTAGCTGACATTAATAACACAACAAATAGTTCCTAAAATATTCTAGCTTTTCTATACAACTGTTGCTCTTTTCAAACATTTGGCATTCTTTTAATAGTTCTAGTCAAACTAAAAATATTTTAAGAGTAAAATACTAGCTGTCTTGAAAGAACTTAGGTCAATTTTCCAATACAGATCAATTTAAATCATAAGCCTTTAAGATCTGTAAAGAAGAAGTAATAGTATCTCATTGTTATGATTTAGTATAAAATAGATACTCTAGTATTATTTCTTCAACAAGCCACATCTCAGGTATGTTTTAATGCCCAGTTCAACTTCCTGTCTTATATTAAGTCCCAGTGGCAATTTCTGAACATACCTTCTGTTCTGCTGTCATAGTTAGACTCTGCAGCCGGCCCGTCATATTCCCTAAGCTCTTTTCAAAAGCTGCTACGAGATGAGCCTGCGAACGAAACAGAAAGAACACATTTTAAATGTCAGAACCTTACGCAGATGGATAAAAACCTTTCATTTTACAAAATGCTTAATTTCAGGTATCCTAACTCTTTAAATACCAGGCCATTAGGGTTGTTCTTAATGGTAACATTCCTTTAACCCAAATCGTCTTTATCACTTCTAACCTTCAGCCTAAAATCAGGGCTTCAAGTCTCTTGACATTTAATGAGAGTTCATCTTCTGAAAGGCTATGGTATTTTGCAAATAATAACACCTTCTGACTCGCACATCATGGAGGCACTTGTCACCCAAAAACGCTGAATAAAGTTCTGAGATGTCAAGTTTTTAGACTTAAAGCCCAAGAGAAAGATACTGCAATAGTCAACGGACAAATGTTCCTCATTTTTATACCTACATGATGACCTTTGAAGATATTGTTAGGTCTTCTATTGTAATGATCCTCTCTTTCAAGTGTTAGGAGGTGCTGACAGCTATAACATTACCTTTACTCTTTTTCTACTTACAAAGAATTGAATGGAAAAGCGTTGTCTTTATTTTCCAAACTCTATAATAAAAGGTCTTCTATTTTTACTTTAGTCCTCCTGGAAGTCACCTTCCGGAGGTGTACATGTAGGCCAAGAATAAAATACTAGACTTCTTGAAAGAAATTAGGTCAATTTTGGTAGTTGGTAGACAAACTATAAATAATACTTTTTTTTCTTTTTATATTATTTAGGTATATTTTAATTGTAACAGTAATGTTTGTGAGTTTGTATCTTTAAATCTCAGGGAATTACACATATTACATAACAGTCACAATTATTGTAATTATGATGTATGTGACAATCTTTGCCACTCCCATCACTGGCCCCTCTTAATCCTGCTACTATAACATTTCTAGTAATGATTTTTAATTTTTTTTTACCTTTGCCATTTAATGTCACATATCTAAATACCAAAACAGGCCACTCTTTTGTGGCACATCATTCCACAGTATGAACCACAGAGTATTAAGTAAGAAAAGACACTCCAATCTTTATGTAACATGGATTGATGTACAGATATAGGTTCTTCAATTTTTTTTATTGTGCTATAAAACAGATAAACAGAGGGATTACTCTAAAATCTACATTAATAATAAACTATGTGTGGGAGAAAAATTGTCATTCTCTAACAAGAATTTTTTTAAAATTGAGGGAAGTGAGGGAATTTAATGAAAATACATCTCCTTGTAATTCTAGTAGAACTGAAAGACCAAGGAACCTATTATCAAATGGATCACAGTAGTCCTAAGAATGAAGGTAATCGAAATTTATTCCATTATTGGTAACAGCTAGAAGGTACAAGTCCGGTCCATCAGCATCCTGATACAAAAGGTATCTTTGTTCCTAGTTTTGAATTTTTTCGGTGCTGCCTTTCTTTTTTGACACTTCAATACGGAGAAAGATCACTGCAGAGAAAATCAGTTCTTCAATATATTACTGTATACTTTTCATTCTCTCTTCTATCCCTCCCTCTCTCCCGCATTTTCACACACAAACCTAAACATAACCCGAGAACCAAGACACCCTAAACTTTGTCAGCAGATTTAATTGGATGAATTATATACTTAAAAAGGAATGAAGAGTTTGGAGTGACAGTACAATGAGTAGGTGCTTGCCTTGCACATGGCCAACCCTGATACAATACCGGGCAGCATAGGCTATGGTGTGATAGGCTATGTCAGTTTTTTGTTTCAAAAAGTATTTTATTATAGTTTAGGTAACATGATTACAATAGTGTTAATGTCCATGCTACTGATGTACAAAGTTACTGCACTTCACCACCAATGCCAAATACCTTCCACCAATGTCCTTATGTTACTTTGTGTCCACTTCTTTATTTCCTCTCACCAAATACCATACTGCTTGGTAATCTGAGCTGTGTAATTCAAGGCCAAGGGTTTGTCATTATTCAATACTACTCCTTTGTTTTTTCTAACTATATAGCACAGATGATTCAGCATTTTTACTCATTCTGACTTATTTCATTAACATGATACTCTCTAGTTCCATCACTGCTACAGTAAACTGCATTATTCATGTTTTCTTTTATAGAATTCTGCATAGTATTCTACTATGTATACTGCATAGTATTCTATTCTGTATATACAAATCTTATCCATTCATCTGCTACAAAATAGACATACAAAAATATAGTGATTTCAATATGCAAATAATAGACTGGAGAAAAAAATAAAGAAGAGATCCTCATTTTGCACAGTGTACAGAAACTTTATATAGTAGGATCAACTTTTTAAAAACATGTGAAAGGCTGTGTAAACACGAAGATCTATAAGCCACTATGGAAGAAATAAAAGAAAACATAAGGAAATAGAAAAATTTTTCATATTCATGGATTTGCTGAATTAAAATGGTCAAAATAAATGCCATAAAAATGTGAACAAATGACATGCAAAATATTTCATGTTCATGGATTGGAAGAATTAACATTGTTGAAATGACCATCCTGCCAAAGCACTATATAGATTCAATGTTCTACTTTGTCTTGCACATAATTTATTTTTAATTGTAAAAAATTTATGCATGCATAAATGTGAACAGAATGAAATGCAAAACACACTGGTTGATCACATAACAGACATGTATGACTCAGTCAAGCCACAAACAGGACATTTGAGTCCACCCAGTACAAAGGTAATGAGTACTATGATAATATGTCCAGGATTACTTGCTTCTATTTCCAGTTTTACCACCTAACTTTGCATCCCCAAACAATATACCTATTTTTGTCAGTTTTTTTTAATATTCCAACAGAATCATATGGGGTGATATTTTTCTGGACAGTGTATTTTTAAATTTTCAATCGTGGTGAGTAGTAGGAGATGGATTTCACTATAAAATATTGTTCTATGTGATTTACAAGGGGCTAGAGCAATAGCACAGTGGGTAGGGCATTTGCCTTGAATGCGGTCAAATCGGCCAACCTGGGTTCAATTCCTCCACCCCTCTCAGAGAGTCCGGCAAGCTACTGCGAGTATCTCACCCACACAGCAAAGCCTGGAAAGCTACTCGTGGCGTATTCAATAAGCCAAACACAGTAACAAGAAGTCTCACAATGGAGATGTTACTGGGCCCGCTCATGCAAATCAATGAAGAATGGGAGTACAGTGCTACAGTGATTTACAATATGATTTGCCCAAGTTGGTCACTGCTACTGATTCCAGTTTAGAACATTAAAAATAATCTCAAGATGGTAATATAAGGATTTTCAAGTCTTAAGACTAAACTTGTTTGGTTTCTTTTAAAAATAGCAAAGATTATTGTAATTATTATAAATATTATAATTAGTAAAGATTATTGTGTTTGCTAATATATAATAAGAGAAATGTAAGTTTCCATTAAATATTGCATTTAAGTGCTCTAAAAGAATTATAAGTTTTAACCACTGAACTGGGTCCCAGAATATACACATCTGAATAAAATTACTTCACCTAAATATTTTATATATATTTTGTGAGTTCAAATGGAGTTAGGATATGACAAAGGGAATTTCTGGTCAAAATGTTGGCAATGCAGTGGCAAGCACCAGCACAGACGGACAGCTGCTCTCAGTGCTCTAAACAGCTGATGGGATCATAAAATTTCTGAGTGAGTTTGGGTGACCCTTGGATATTCTGTCTCAGAGGAAGTGCCATAAAATGAAATCAACCAGTCACTCACTGCAGAGCACCAGCCTGGGGTGAGGTTTGTGAGGACAGCAGTGGCACAGCTGCCAGTCTGCAAAACTACTGCAGCTCTTGGCACTATGGGAAGCAGCAGAGTTTTACCATGTCTGAATAGGGCTCTTCAGGTCCAACTTGGCACCACTACAGAGTGCAGGTCCCGGAGCTGGGGAGGTTCCCCAGATCCTGACCATGCGGCCCTGGCTATTCGCTGCTGGCGGGGTAGATTGGCACTATTTCTTCCCCATACCAGCATGCACCATCTGCAGCATATTACGGAAGAAAAGTTCGCTAAGTGCCAACTGTCTAAAGACCCAGAACGGAGGTGTGTGCTCTGGGTCAGTCTCTGATGGTGGCTACGACCGACCCAGAGCACCAGAGCTGCAAATGGTAGCAGCCCTGGGTCCAGATCTGTCCCTGCCTGGGCTGCTGTTGTCATGTCCACTGGGACCCAGGGGCCATAACACCACCAGCAAGTCAACTTTGACCAGTAGGGTGAGTGCATCAGGAGCCTGATGGTGCCTTCAGGTGTCCTGATACCCACAAACAACCACTATGCCTCTGGCCAGACCCCAACAACTCAGGACAAAATTTCCTAAGAAATAAAACCACCAAAAGTTAGGCATGTGGGAACCTAACAAAAAACCTCCAGTTCAGCCATACAAGTTCATTAATTGGCCTTGCTTCAGGGACCCATAAATAAATCTAGAAACAGAAATCAAAAGCCAGAGTTAAATGAGGACCCACACAAGGCTGAAGAGGAGGGGGTATACTGGAAGGGGTGTGGGTTAGACCATTGCCAGTACAAACAGATATCCCCACAGTTGCTCGCTTCCACAATCGAAAATCACCATGATGGAATTCACCACCTAGGGATAGACCTCACCAAGACACTAACCTGCTAAAAGTTCAGGTATACAGGTTTTGAGACTGAAATCTTCAAGCTTTGTCAGTCAGGATAGGGTAACTCCCTCCACCTCCCTGTACTTGCAGAAGCCCTGGCAATCACATCCATATCCCAAAGCTGCCACCTGGTTAAATAAAGCTACTCCAGCTGTACCTTTCTGATAAAAATACTGAAAACTAATGCTCTTATTATCTATTTCACAACTATCTAAGAATTTATATTTTAAAGACAATAACTTTTAAACCCCATGACAATAATCTCACTCAATGTCAATGGTCTAAATGCACAAATCAAGAGACAGAGAGTGGCAAAATGGATCTAGAAACTGAAACCAACATTCTGCTCTCTACAAGAAACTCATCTGGACAGTCAGAGC